GTTGGCCCGGCTCACTTGCCCATTGGCGCAACCCTGGGTTCAACTGCGATGCCGCAGCGCAAAAGCAGTTTAGCCCCAAAACGTAACAACTACTGGCCAAAACGCTGGAGTCTAATGCCAGTTGTTGCAGCCGTGTGGAACTGCGCTTTGTTTTTGCTCCTCTTTCAGTATTTTTACCTTTTTTTTTTTTTTTTTTGGTTGGTTTTTATGCGAGCAACTTCCATGGAAGTGGCTTAAGCCAAACGTAGCAAATATTTTTATATACGAGTACGAGTATAGACTCCACACTTATCGCCAAACAAGATCAATATGCACGATATCAATATGCCTCGCTTCGTTTCGCTTTGTCTCTTCCACTCCTTTGCTTTTGCTTTGCTCTCGTCTTGTTCCTTTTGCCCCGAACAAGCACAAGATGAACAGCAGAACAGTTCCAGATACAAGCGGGGGAGCACCATAAAGGAGCTTAAACACAGCTCGGGTATTCTAAATTTGCGAGCATATGGCATGTAGGTAGATGCGGCAGAGGTATAAGCTACTAGATAGCTCCAAAATAACAAAATAGGAATTTCAAAGATCTAATATTATCTTTCATCATTTAGGTATGCACCTTGCACTTGCGAGTTTCTTTCAGCCACAATCCCTAAGGGAAAATAAGTGGGAAATAGGTATGCGATAATGTCAAATAAAGTTATTTTCTAAGGAGGTTTATTAATTCGCTTTATCGAAGCCTGAAGTGTTTATATACTTTCTGTTTTTGGTAGTTGTTATCTAATTTGAACCGGTAATCTGTCGCTTGCTGGTCCGACGCTATGCAGCTTCAGTGTGTCAGGTCGAAATCTTTTATTAATATATGGATATAAACGTATCGTATCTATCGAGCGATGACTAATTGCTTAACAAGCTGCTGCCACAAAAGCGAAACCGAAATGTCTGTCAGCTGTTGAAGATTTGTCGCGCTTGTCAATATGATTAGCCAGTTTCAATTTGGCCGTCTATGGCCCAAAAGCAACATTTCGCGGAATTTCAAAAAGCCAGCAGAAAATATGCAATGACTCCTATACAAACATTTTGAATGCCCCCAGGCGATAAGGCAGCGACAGCACAGCGACAGCGACGCTGCAGTCGACGTCGACAGCGATGACGATGATGATGATGATTGCAGTAGACGATTGTTGTGCATACCCTACCCGAAAATATGAAAAATACTTTGACTACATTATCAAATTGGCAAGCAAAAACTGAAGAAGTAAGAGCTCAAGCTGGAAAGATTCCTTACATTCCTTTTATAGAGTTTCTAGAGTGATATTCAAATTCCACTTCTCTCGCTGATAATATTTTCGTTGTGCTTTGTAATTGAATACCAGGCATGTGTCAGTAGCTTAGACTCTGGGGACGTGAATAAATTCCTTGATTATTAATTTATTGAATTCTTGTGAAGGAAAATTGAGGATAGCACATAAACAAGAACAGCAATAATCGCGGTTGATGGTTTCAGTTGACCTCTTGTTTAAGGATGACGCACAAAAAAGAATAGCAAAACAGATTTCAAGATCGTAACTGCAAGAGAATGAACTCCATAAAGTGCGCCAGCTTATCATTTGTTTAAGGATGGAGTGTAAATGCAATTGGGTAAATAAACTTCAGAGAGTTCACCAGCTGAGCAAAGAAGAATAGCAAAACTGCTTGAACCATGTTGGAAGCGATTGCAATTGTTTAGGGTATCCAAGATTCGGTATATATAACTTAAGCTTTATTTTATTTTTATTTTTTTGCGTGGCTTTTGCCAATTGTTGTTGCTCTCCTTGTGGCATTTGCATATTTTGAATGTTCGCGCGCGGCCTGCACGTTTTACAACTGCAACAACAACTGCGAAAATGTTATCGATGATTGCGAGGCAATGTAGCCGGGCGCAGAGCTCAGCTCAGCTCAGCTCAACTCAGCTCTGGGGGCAGCTCTCGTACTATGTAGCTGTGGGAGGAGAGTCATGATGCTGTGGCTCTGCGCTGGGGACCTTTTTATAGTTGTGCTGTTGTTGCTGTTATTGTTGTCAAACAATTGTCACAACGTGTTGGCATTCACACGAACTTTATGTTTTGTCAACACCTCGCAATGTTTTTGGGAGGAAAGAGCGGGCGCGCGCGCATGTCAAGGGTTAAAGCTTGACTGGGCCAAGTAGCTTGCAGTCCATTAGCTAAACTGTTGCTACAAGGAGAGCGTAACGGAGACGTAAGCAGTTTTGGCCTACCGCATTGCACGCATTAATAACATTTGTGATGTGCTGTCAAAAATTGCAGCGGCAATTTTCAATCAAAGGATCCATCGCATTCGCATTCGGTTTCGCATTCCTTTTGTCAGCTCCGAAGTTCATTGTGAAAAAGCAACACCCGTTCTGAAGGGTTCCTCAACTCGGCTAATAATAATGAGCGGAACCGCGTTCATTGTAGCTGTCTTGGCGCTCTTTATACTCTCCTTTCCTTTCTGTTTTTTTTTTTTTTTCTCTTTTTTTTACTTATCATTATTGTATTTATGGCACAATTTTGTTTTGGCATAATGCAGGGAAAGAAAAAACACTTGTGCTGTAGCTGACAAGCGGAATATCTTTTTTCTCGCGTTCGAATGCTGCAGCTCCTTGGCGATCGTTTGCTGAATAGATCACTCAGTCGCAATGAATTATTGATGAACTGACAGCGAAAAAATACTGCAAGATGGAAGAGAGAGAGAGAGAGAGAGAGAGAGAGAGGGAGTCTCTCTGTAACCTGTAGCTTTGACTTTAATGTGGCAGCCGAACCGATCGATATGTCCAATCTTCGATCTGCGATCGTCTTTGTGACTTTGTCAACATTGCGTCCTGCTTCTCGTGCCTGCCCCAGGCATTGTGATATATTGTTTCGGTAGCATTTTGTTAAACGTGATCAATTTTTAATTACCCGTCAGCCCGTCGACGATCGTCGATCGTTGATCGCTGTTCGTCTCTGGTCCTTCCTTCAATCGCACCGCACAAATGTAACCTGCACGTTTTGTCGCATGTCAGTCGAACGATTTATGCTACCCAGGCTATCCAATCGAGCCGACTGAGCGACTGAGCGACTTTAATAAATGTGTCTTGCGCCGCTTTTGGAGTGCGTCTCCGTCTCGGTTGCAACTACGTTTTTAGTAGCTGCCGTGATTGCGGTCTGATTGGGGCTACTTTGCGGTCAGGTTGCCTGGCGCTGGACCGCGTGTGTGCGTAAAATTTTTAATTAGCTTTGTCTAATTAACACTTGCAACACAGAGAGAATTGAGCGGCTCGAAGCGTGCCAACCGAAGGCGTGAAGATCAAAAGGTATACGGAGCGATAGGAATACCAGTTAAGTTAGTTGGAAGCTAGAGAAAGAATTTCCACTCAAAAGAAGTCAATTAGCGGCAGCCATTACAGAAATTAAAACTTGCCATAAAGATTGTCAAGCTTGTATTAAGTTTGGAATTCTGAAAATATACCGAGTAGGGAGCTTGTGTCTTATATCGAGATCTTTGAGCTTACAGGAATCATGCAAAATAAGCTATTAAGCTTAAAGTGGAGCGCAACTCTGCATAGAGACTTAAATGTGGCGCTTGTTGCGGCCGAGATCAACTTCCACTTAGGCAGATCGATTGTTGGTTCACAGCAATCCCCTGGGCAGACAACTGGCTACAGCTACACCTAGCCCGGCGGCGCTTTAACCTTCTCCCACGAAGAAGTTCTAAGAGCGTCCTAATGCACAGAGGCGAATTAAGAGCGCCAAGAGTTGAGATCTTACACAAACAAGGAAGAGTAGAATTAATTGACACTTACCATTTTACCAAAGCCAACTGCTGTTAGGGAATGACTTTAATCCTTAGCTCTTTATTTTCATTTGCTTCCGGAACTTTTTTGCAACTACTCACTAATACCTACTGCAAAAGGTACTTGTGCCACCTGCTTGCAGCACTTCTTCCCGCTGCATCTGCAGCTCCACGAACAACATAATTTCCACAAAATGGGCAGACCACAACCAAAAGCCCACGCCCATTTTGCAGCAAGCTACGGTTCGTTTGTTGGCCTGGCCCGGGCACATTGTGCCCTCGGGTGCCCTACGGTAGGCAGCTAAATTAAAGTGAACGCCCACAGCACGTGCCGCAGACTTGGAGAAACAGAAGGAGCCAAATCGAAAGTGGCCAGCAGACCGGCAGACCGGCAGCCAGCATCAGGCAGCCAAGCTGGCTGCCGCGGCCCAAACTTTTGTCTGGGATCCACTCGAAAAATGCTGCCACTTGAGTTTTGTAGTTGGCCGCAATACGGCAGCTCCTCTCGGGGCTACTCCTCTTCTGTATTTATTTATTTTTGGAGCACGCGCAGCAACAAATTAAAAAGTAATTCACAAGCGCTGCATAATTAGCTGTTAAGTGACACTAATGTAGCTGGTAACGGATCGGTCTTTAGTTTTCAGCAGCACCTCCTCAGAACGAGGCCCCCCCCCCCCTTCCCCCCTCACATACCCCTCACCACCTCTCCTGCTACTTGCTGCACTTGCGGGCGCGTTGTGTGGGCAAGTTAAGTTTTTGGGCTTATGCCACTTTACATTCCGTTTGCCCTTTGTTAGGGTATCCACGATTTTCCATCGGTTTGGAGACGATATTTTTTTGAACGGGCCGTCTGACCTGGCCTCACTTTTCTTCCTTCCATCCCTTCATTGTCCTACCCTTCCTAGAGCATTTAGGCGTCGCCTAATCAAGCACTATTTTTCTCAACATATTTTCCAAGTTTTTGCCTTTGTTTTGTTGTTGTTGAATTTTCCTGTTGCTGCAGCTAATTGATTTGCGTTTGTTGTGCTGTGCTTTGTGGCCTGGCACATGGCTACCCGTTTGGGTCTGGCTCCCTTTTGGCTGCCGAGTTGTTGCAGTTGTTGTGTGTGGCATCGCCCTGGAACCAAATTGATGGTTGTGCCGAAAGCAAAGGTCATTACTGTGATGAAATTTATGTGTGAGTTTGTGGAGTAAGTTGTTGTCGGTGTTATTTGTGTCAAATAACACATAAAATACACACACACTACACACAGAACCTAACTGAAAGCAAGTTGGTTACCAGGCTCGCTTAGCTACTCGAGGAAGTTGCGCAAAAATAAAGCACAACGAATACTTAAAGGATAGGTAAGCTGTTGAGAAGACCGCAGCTGCTACTCGGGCTTATGATCCTATCCCCCTTCTGATTAACTGCAGCCCATGTCTCAAAATGCTTCCAATCTGGGTCAGCAGCGGCGTCCCGAAGAATCTTCTGAAGTACAAGATGTAAGCTTCAATTCGAGCAGTGAGTATGCCGAATGGGATCGAGGGTCCTACGAGCGTAAAAAGGAAACACGCCCACGGCCTGACCAAAAATACAAACAAAAAGCCAAGTTTACGGCTTACTGTTGCCTTTCGGATGATAGCGATCCAAGCTTGTATAAGAAATGCCAAAAGCGAGCGGAAAGTTATGTCAAACAGTTTATAGCAGAAAAAGATGCCGCTGCCAATTATCACTTGCCGGAAGATGTACCTATAAGGAATTTCATACGCAAAGTTGAGCCAGAAACCTTTACCGATAGCAAAACTGAATTCGCAAAATATAAAGACTTGGCTGATAATAAAATTGAAGGACAAAAAAAACATTCCGCAAGGGAAGACTTAACGGCTAATGAAGCTAACCCGAGGGAACAATCTGACACGGATATTAGTCAATTATCGCAGTCGTCGAGTGAAGAGTCGAAAACTTTTAGTCAAATCTATAGCGAAATCTACGAGGAGTCACGAGCGCGACAGGAAAAAGCCGAGCAGATCTACAGAGTATATACCAATAAGGAATCTAAGCGAAAGGAAGAAAAAAGAGAACACTATATAAGATCCAAATCCGGACAACGTACAGCGCGTTGGGTAGAGTACTTGGGTCAGCCCCATATTTCCAATGAGTACTCAACGGAGGGTTCAAACGAAAGCGACAAGGATTCGGAATACTTTCAATCATCAGTGAATGATAATTATTTTACCGAAGAGGATTATCAATATTTAATTCAAGAACAATTGCATGTCATAGCTCGTTATCAGCAAGAATCACGCAGTGGCTATAACACCTATATTGAAGAGTACATAAGTGAGCTGGCAGGGGCTTCTGATGGAGATCAGGTAGCTATTGGGAGCCAACCATCACACGGGGATGCAAAGGACTCTTTGAGCGAACAAGGGGACAGACAATCCAAAGACCAGAAAACTCATGAAACTGAACCATCTGTAGTGCGCAGCAGCAAAGCTTGTTCTCTTGAATTTACACAAAAAAGTTTAAAGTCAAATAATAACGATATCGGAAAAACAGAAGTGCTGCAATTTGAACATTGTGATATATATCATATAAGGCCAACCGGCAATAGAATTTGTTCTGTGAAAAAATTTAAGAAAACTCCAGTTGAAGCTGTTTTCAATGATCGTGACGAAAGAAGTCATCAAGACTGCACCGATTTTGAGTACAATAAAAGCGAGGACTTAAATAATTCAAGAAAGTTACTGAAACCAATTGAAGAGCGGACGTCCCAGGGAAGTGCAGCTAAGGGAAAAGCTGATCAAGCTGAATTGAAAGAGAATGCTGCCATTTGTTCTTTCAAGCGCATCGAAGAGCGCAGATCTCGCGAAAGTGAAAAAATTAAAATAGATAGTCCGAAGAGTTCCATAAAATCTACTGAAGAGCGGAAATCCCGGCGAAATATAGCTGATCGAAAAGCTTCTCATTGTAGCAGCTGTCAAGAAAGTTTTAATAGTAAGCAAATGGAAGCAGATAGTTTAAAGAGTTCCTTAAAACCTACTGAAGAGCGGAAATTACGACGAAATGTAGCCCAACGAAAAGGTGATCATAGCAAGGACGCAAAAGTAAATGGTTTGACAGACTCTTCCAAACGGGTTGATGAGCGCAGTTCCTGGCAAAGTGTCAACACTGAACAAATTAAAGCAGATAGTCCGAGTTCCTTAAAATCTACTGAAGATCTCAAATTTCAGCTAGGTATAGCTAAACGAAAAGCGGATGAATACAAGGATCTAAAAGAGAATGCTTCTATAGATTCATCCATGCGAGTTGATGAGCGCAACTCTCGGGAAACGAGCTTTACTAAAAGATCTAAAAGTCAATCAAATTGCTATCAATCAGAGAGCTTTGTTAGGGACGTTGAAGAGCCCAAGTCGCAGATATTTAAAAAGAGATGCGTTCCCTGTGAGCAAAGCGATACCGACTTCTCAAAGCCCAAGTCACGGCTACCACCATATAATCTTAAAAAATCAGGGAAGACCTACAATAAAAGTCACAAGGCGCTTCAATCCCCAACGAATTTAAATTGTCCCAGCGAGAGATGCACAAAGAATTTTGAGATAACCCCTCTGGAGGCTATTGATAGCTCTCTGTTGTATGCGAATGAAGAAGTTAGCGTCGATGATTACTATTTAAGCAGCAAAGGTGCGACTTCAGACAGTTCCCTAATTAGCACATCACGATCTATGCAGAGTGCGCCCAAGACATATCAGGATCGTGCGAGCAGTCCCATACAGATCATTTACAGCGAGCCAAGCGATAGCTTCGAAATGGAGCTAGACATGACGCCCACAATTCAGGAAATGGAAGAGGAAATTGCTGACAATGAGGCTGACGATGAGGCTGTTGTGGGGGAGTGCCATGTGGCAATGGCAGAGAGTGAGAGATCTACGAAAAGTAAGTTGTCCAAGGAATGCTCCCAGACAAGCATAGCCAGCGAGGAGAAAGGAGTCCAATATCCCAGCGGCGATGAGCTGGGTGATTCGTCAAAGAAACAGAAGCGAGCCCTTAAAATATACAACCTGGATGAGGCCCTACTAAAAGTGCCCAAGGACTTCAAGGGCAAAGCGATTGTGTTCGACAATGAGGATGAATTGCTGGACATAAGTCTAAGCGACGACGATCTCCAGCTGCAGGCCAAGCTACAGGCAGCTGTCTGGACCGATGCCACAAAGGAAGGCAGCTCCAACAATATCAGCTGCAATTCGCTGCCAAGTGGGGATAGTCGGACAAGCAGCAGCAGCAGCGCTTTCAGCATCTGCAGCTACCAGCCCAGCGAGCGTTTCTATAGACGCACTCAGCCGGAAGATGATGACGACCTGAAGATACCCGAACCGGACATGGACACGCAGCCGATCACCTATGAGTTACATGTGGCCCGACTCGCCGAGCGTGCGCTGCGAGCTTGTACTGACTACTACCAAAGGGGCGTCCAGTTGAAACCGGAGCTGGAACAAGATATTGCAGCAAAGGTGCAAATGCTATACAATTCGGAAATGCAGTTTAATACGCCGAAGCGCCTTATCAAACGGGAGGAGATCCTCAAACAGTTCAATCTGCGACTGCAACAACAGCTAAACCTAATCGCGCCCAGCTTTCAATAAAGCAAACATAAACACACACAAACATACACACACACAGAAAGGATACAGCACAACATCTTCCATATATATCCCATATATTTTCTATATGAACATAAAGTTCAGCTTATAAAAATCAAGGCATAATTTGTTTTATTGCACACGAACTGAAAAACAATGCAATGCATTTTGATATTTATGTTCTGTGTGCTGTTGCACCTTTACGAAAATTCGCCGCAAAATACTTGAAACTTTCAGCAGGCAGAGGCAGAGGCAGTTCGCAGCCGCCTTCAAGTCTGGCCCTGCATAGCGCATAAATCAGTTTTAGTGCAGGCCAAGGGTCTTGCTGAAGGCTCAAGTGCTCGACAGAGCTGTAGGGAGCACAAGTAAAAGTTATACAGCCCAACTAATGTATACCCTTAACACAGTCCCCGACGAGGTATTTGGAATTATGTAGAGTATGTGGGCATATACAGTTTATATCTGGAAATTTCTGATCGATCAAGAATCGATTTATATCGATGTTACCTTATGAAAACCAACATATCGAGTCTCTAGGGTATGTTAAAAACACCAAGGCTGAAAATCAATATTTATCGACTCAGTATATGAGGAAGGTTCGTAACGATTGCGTCTATTATTTGATAACCTAGCTGGACAATATGCCTCGTCCCCGAGTACAGGGTATCCAGGAAGGAAAAGAGAGGTAGTTTTATCAAATACCAAGGCTGAAAATCAATATTTATCGACTTGGAGTAAATGAGTAAGATTTCTAGCGATAGCTAGACAATATTCCTCGTCTCGAGTTACAGGGTATCGAAGGAGATAAAGAGAGATAGTGGCAGTTCTTCTAGCATAATTAGGCAAGCAGCCCAGCCCCTGGCTACTGTTAGTCTCGGATTGCGATCGTTGCCACTGCCCCATGTTGCACATTCATTTTCTTCACACATACTAAATATGCAGCGCTGTTGTTTACAACATCAGCCCTGACAGCCAGCATAGACATTATGTTGGAGCTCTGGGGGTGTTGCACTTGTTGCAACTGTTGCAGCAGCATTGCCCCCATCTATTGAGCCGCTTTAATTGCTAACTAAACAGAAATTTCTAAAATGCATTGGGCCAAAAGTGAGCAAATATTGTTTTAAGGCACATCAACATATTTTACCTGGTTAATGAAGACACATTCAGACATTGACTTGCTTCTTGATTTTGATTGTATTCCTTGCCTAGATTTTATAACGATGTGCCGCTCGATATGTTTATAATTTACGATAGACAGAGAGAGAGAGAGAGAGAGCGAGCGAGGCGGAGAAAGAGAGAGTGTGAGTGTGTGTGTTCTTAAAAACATTTTTAATAGTTTTACAGGTAATGTTGCAATGTCTACAATTGGGCTATCTATAATTGGGTTTCTTAGTATTTCGGGTGAGTAGATTTCTCTGTTTAATATTTAAAACAAATATACTTATATATTGATAATATATCGATGCAGAATCATAAAATGTTTGATATAAGTGGATATGTTGACAATTCCAGTCACAAAAGTTGAAAATGGATGGAATCTTATGTTTAAGTCTTTCCTTAAACATTTATCAATACATTGCATTTTATTTTAGTGTAAAAAATGCGTATCACGAATGTCTACAGGTGAAAATTGGGTTGAAAAAGAACAAAAAGAACAAGCAATAAGTAAGTAAATTTCAGCTAGTAATTTATAACGAACAGCCCAATATTCTCAGCTCCAAACACTCTTCCACTACCAAAAGATATCACCCCTTATTTTTAACATTATTTCTATATCATGACAACTTTTGATGCTTTTGATGCTTTAATCAGCACCTGTCTTGATCTACGATCTGACTAGCCTATTCCCCTTTACTTTGGAGTCTCTCTCCAAACCCACACGCACATCTATGCAGGGCATATCAGTGAGGAGCATAATTTAGACAATTCCCTTCATTTATTATGAAAAATGCACTCAATTTATATGACTTGATTATAAAGGTCTTTGGCAAAAGCAGCGCTGTTTGCTTAGGCATTGACATTCGTTCGACGCAGCATAGAATTCCCAGTGCTTAGCCACAGACTAAAATGGTCAAGAGAATTGCTGGAGGCGCACCCCACGCCAATTTATTAAAGCCAACACCAAGTTCGAGTCCGAGTTGCGAGTTGCGAGGCTGAGGCACAGGTTCTCCACTTGGAGCTAATATGAAAAATGGCACGAAATGGCCAAGTCGCATATGCAGAATGCATAATTCATTTAACATTTTGTAAATCATTTGTTTGAATAGCACGATGACGATGATGTAGTCTGGCCAGGGACTAGGGCAGCCTCTCACAGTGCACGCCGAAAACAACCTGCAAAAGCAACTACACTCAGCGAAAATTGCCATGCCAATTGATATGCAGAGTTTTTCTTTTAGAAAGCTATTTAATATTCTTAAATTAAGTCTCAGTCATGCTAGATTTGAGAGCAGAAATAAGGTAGTTCAAGAATTGAATCAATGCGTCGGTGATTATCCGCATTAATAAATCAATAGTAGCTTCTAAACTGGGTTAATCATATTCATTTGACCCATTTTAAATTTCGTTGGGCTTGGCACCTTGTGGGCCAACTACTTTGCTGGAAGGTTTGGTTTATAAAGGTTTGGATTAAGAAATTATAGGTTTGAACCGGTTTTCTATATCCTTAAAGTCAAATATCGGTTCAAATCTTGCATTTGAGATTTCTCAAGGAATATTGGTTCAAACCTTGCATTTGAGTTTTCTCAAGGAATATTGGTTCAAACCTTGAGTTGAGTTTCCCCAAAGAACAATGAGTTGGCACCAAAGCAGCCTTGAAAATTATTATGGTTCGGATTTCAGACAGCTGTTTTTTTCAGATTTTGGCTTTAGGCTAAAAATGGGCATTCGGGTTCGAGCCAGCTCGCTCCAAACCTGGCTTGCTTTTGATGTCTAACTTGTTGTTTTGCCAATTGTTTTCGCTGAGTGTACCAAAATGCACTCGGGCCAGTTAAACTATTCGTCTGCACTGACAAATCGGCCGCGGAGTCGTTTTGCCTGGTTCGGTCCCTGCTCGGACGCCAGTTCCTTAACACAATGGTGCTGCATGACGCTGCGCAAATATAATTTCGCAACTGTCTGCACATGGGCCAAAACGAAACGAGACACACGATGCCAGGCGCAGGCACAGGCACAGGCAGAGGCAGAGGCCCAGTCCCTGGGACAGTCACAGTCTCCAGATCCCAAAGTCCGAGCCCAGTCTCCGCTTCAGTCATAAGTCACACGCGGCTCTGCAACGACTTTTTGGGCTTGGTATATAGACCTGCACCCTTCTCTGCTGCTGCTGCTGCCGCATCTTCTTCTTATTCTTTATTATTTTTATTATTATTTGTACATTTTGCGTTTTTGATTTCTGTGAAATTTGCATGCGCTCTCGTTCCCTGCTAGCAGCTAATTTAGTTTTGTGGTCTCTTATTGAAAAATTACAAAGTTTTTTTTTTTTCATTTTTATTATTACTTCTTTTTTTTTTTTGTTTTTCTGATGTGCCAGCTGTTGGCATTTCTTGGGAACTTGGGAAACTCTGTAATTTTAATGATCTGCACCGCCGCCGACATCGTAACTCAATATATATCGGCACAGAAACACAGATCGCTCCAGACAGCTTGGAAGCAGCCAGCAGCCAGCAGCCAGCCGCGTCTTTGCATCAACAATTTATCATTTATTTTCCTTTTATATTTTTTGTTTACTGCACTTTGAAAACTAATTAAGTTTCTGCCGTGTGTGTGGCCGGGGCGGAGGTGTGCCTGACTGTTGTAATTTGGCTTTGGCGTTAAATTTTGTATCAAAAAACTATTAGCCAAGTGTTAAATCCATCATTAAGTCGAATGTGAATCGTGGTGCCAATGCGTCTGCCTCGACTCAATCGAGTCTCGCGATTGTCCGTTGTTTGTGGACAGCGATCCATTGTTGCCAACGTTTTACAAATGGGAAAAACATAAGTAGCGTGGCTTTTTAATTTACTTCGAGTCTTTTGTTTGCCCCCCCCCCTCGAAACCAAGGATAACTTTGTTGGCGGCCCTATAGATCTTGACCACAGAACAAATCAGCCAAGACACAACAATATGGCGTTGTAAACCCTTCTTCATTTAATTTTAAAATTACAAATTTTCTTAATAATTTAAAAAAAATAACAAAATTTGTTTAAAGGTTTTTGTAACGAAAATTAGTAAAGTATTTTTTTTAATCAAGGGCTTTCAATATCTAAGAAAGGCGTTTTCTTAAGACTTAGGACTGTAAAACTATAATATAATATAATAATTATAATATAATTATCTTTAAAATCTTAACAAGTTCAGGCAGTAAGAAACTGGGGAATACGTTCTTTGTATTTGAGAACTTGGAATTTTTTTTTTTTTGTTTTTAATAGTTTTATTAAGCTTAGGGAGTTAGAAATAAAAAAGGCAAATTCTTCTTTGTATTTGAGAATTTAGAATCTTTTTTCTAGAAATGTGAAAATTGTAATATATAAGTATAATTTTATCAGAGAGAGTTGGGGACCTAAAGAAAGCATTTTCGTTGGACTTGCAAATCTCTTTTCTATTAATAAAAATTCCTTTTTTAATCCTTTTCTATACATTAGCTTAGAAAACGGTTTTTTTTTTCTAAATATATTTTCATAATCGTATAGATTGTAGATACAAAACCAAAGTAGAGTTAAAATTATAAATTATATTGGACCAGGAAGAGCAAAATTCATACACAATATTTAAATTTATGAGCTCGCTGACAAAGTGACTATTTTTGCGGTCCGCAACTAAACGAATAGTTTACAAAATTTGCAAAAGGTAAATTAAAACTGCCAACCGCACAAATTAGTTAACCACAAAAGCCGAACAACTATACCTATAGATAACTATAACTAGTCTCAATTAATTTATGTTATTTAAACGTCGCTTTTCGGACACACACCGAAAATAGACAGCACAACAACAGCAGACACGGCATTAAAAGCAAAGAGTGATTAACTGAATATACCCTGTAATCAGGCACATACACACAGATATCTGCTCTCAGCTTTACTTTTTGAAAAATTCATTGCCAAATAGATCGATCCTCGTCCTATTTGCTGGGCTTAAGGCT